TACGTGACACAGAAGTGTAGGAGACCCTCTGCAGTGACAACTCAAAGACCCAGCCACGCGTTTCTTTTGTGGATTCATCATCCCTCCAAGACACAAAACAGGACAAGGACAAGAAGAAGAGGAAAAATTAAAAAAAGAACGGCAAGAATTGAGTTTGCTTCCCCCCACTCCGTCTGTGGATTTCTGTTATGTGATAGCTAACTGTGTCCTCTGGAGTTTAAACAATATGACATGTAACAGTTCAATCAAAGGTTGTTAAATGAACAATATGCTCCTTTTAGAAATCACAACTATAAGAATAGGACACACAGAAGAAATGTTTTCAGTTGATACTGAATAGCAACAAAAACTCCAACACAGAAAAGAGAACTAAGTGAACTCTTGTGCATGAAATTCCAGAAACAGCACATGACCCAAATCTCTAAGACCAATAACATGAGGGGCTTTTTTTTTTTTGTACAAAATAAATTATTGAAAGTGGTCATGGGATCTCTAGCAGTCAGAGATACACAGTTTCCCAAGGAACGCTCATCAGGGAATGTATTATTTAAGACTGGATCATCATAATGCTATTTTTAATCCTATCATTTTGCTGCCAAAATTGACCATGGCAGTTGATAGTGGCCACGAGAAAAATGGTGTTCTTTCATGTAGTTCACCCACTGTCATGAGAAGGGCAATGCTTTCAGTTAGCCAAATGTTTTGGTGGATGTGAACTGTATTCAGAAAGGGGAAACTTCTTACTAACTACCTAATAAAAAGGAAGCTGATATCTACTGGGTACACAGAAATGAGTTCCCTTTAGTTGGCAAAGAAAAGCTACCTCACTTTAACGAGGCCAATGCAAATGCAAATGCCAACGCAAACTCACTGCGTTCATCACCGTGATGAACGTTCTTGAGAGCAGCAGAGCTGCGATTATTTAACTCCCTCCCCCCATTCTCTGCTTCTTCTGGGGGTCAGACTGCTGCAGTGGGCATCTGGGAAACAAGATTCCAGGCAACATTCTGCACGTGGACCACTGGAAAGAGGTCTACAGAATCTGTCACAAGATTAATCCTTCAAAAAAACAAAACAAAAACAAACAAAGAAACAAAAAACCCACCCGCATCTGGAAAGCATCAGGCATAGCAGTCAGCAGCTCTGACTTTAATGCACAGAGAAACCCAAGGTTCTGACTCAGTGGCACTAGGCTGGAGCCTGAGAGTCTCCACCCAAGAAGGTCCCAGGGCTTATTTTCTAGAATAGTTGCCAGCTCCTTTTTCTAACTTTCTTGCCTTTCTCTGGACAGCATGCAAGCCTTATTCAGACCTGGGTATAAGCCATATTCTGCCTTATATCCAATTATTTCTTTAGTTTTTACTTAATTTGTAGGTTCTGGGATTCTCTAGCAGGAGCTGGTCCTTCCAAGGACTGTTTTCTCTGTAATGGAACATGGAACACAGTCTTCCCCAGCGTTGGAGCACTCTGCCTTTGAAGCAGAAGACAGAAAATAATTTCAAGTCTAAAGTGTCTGTAAATGACCACGGGAAGTTATTCCCACCATTCCCATCATTTTCTCACATCAAGAAAACAGGCTATCTGCTGAAACTTAGCTATTGTTATTAAAAGATCACCGCCATGTGCAACATACTAGAGATACAATCCTAATATAAGGTTAAAGGGAAATCTATACGCTAAATGCCTAAAACAAAAATTCAAGTTAATAAGACACATCTGAAACCATAGGCTGATAGACCAATCACTACAAACTCTCAATTGCTACCACTTTTATTCCAAAATGTTTACATATGATTCTATTTTCTGATACATAGTCTTTTCTTGCCAATTCCGTTCTTTTCCGGCATAGTCATCCATTTATGGTTGCTCTGGAAACTATTAGACATTTTCTTTTACCATCAGCCATTTGTGGTTCTCTGTGACTTATGTTTGCTATAAGAGGCTTTGTCAAAAAAAGTTTTTATCATCTCTTCCAGTATGCCATTGTGGTTTGGCTTCATAACATGAAGTCTATGCGTTTATCAACCTCAGATACCTGCGGACCACAAAGATAGGCCCTACAACAAAAACTTGATGAAGAACACAGAAAAAAGAGATGCTTCATTTAAAAAGAAACCTCAGTCGTCTGCCTCGTCAACACACTGCAACCTGACAACAGAGGTCAGGCTGCTTCTGAAGCTCCCCCAGAAGCAGACGGTCCTGCTTCCCACACTTTTAGCCCGATAGTCAAGACCACACACACTTACTGCCTTGATTTTCCTTCAAGAAGAGAGAAACAGATTTTTTTTTCATAAAAATATGAAATAACAAAACCATTAAATTGTTTTACTTTGGCTTTAGAAGGCTTCTTCTGGAGCCTGAAGTCCCCATTACAGAGGCTGAACTACCAACCACCTACTTAACTAAACATCTAACAAGCTCAGTTCTCACCCTTCAGCCAACAATCTGATCACATGGGATGCCAACAAATGAGCGATTTACAAAGAACATGTGAATTTTCAGGCACGTAAACTTGGATATTTCAGTTAATTTTACTTTTAAGTCTTGAACCGTGCCAACAATATTTTGTCAACTTTGGCCAAATAAGATCAGATGTTCACATCAATCATCTATTTTTCTTGGCTTTTTCTGTTTGGGGCCATAAATATTAGCACATCTTGCAAATTGTAGTAAAAACATAATGTTTCTAGATATTTGATTCACTTATAGTCAAGTATAGACTTTTTGCTCCTGTTAGGTGCTCTAAAAAGTTAGTCGTTCTCCTGAGACTCTCCAAGGCAAGACTAAAATGAAAATCTTTTTCATTAAAACAAAGTCTTTAAAAAATGTCAGACAATGATTGCTGACTTTTTTTGTAACTTAATTCTTTTAGGTGTAACAAGCCTGAGTCTGCTCCCTACGCCCCTGTCCGGAACCAGGAAAAAGCTTAAATCTCATGGTAAAATAATGGAAGTTTGATTTCCCAAGATATCAGAAAATTATCACTCCATAGATGCTCATCAAAGCTATGGATACTAATAATTTCAACTTAAGTCAGGGCCAGACACTCTTCAGCTAGGTGTTATTATTTCTTCCGCAGACACCCTAGATGCAAGTCCACTCAGCAGTGGAGATCGCAAAACAATGTAGATTGTATGTAGAAATAAGTAAAGGATATTAAAATGGATGTAAGCTTCTGAATCATGTGTGTTACAGCGCGCAGTCTGGAGCCCCTGCAGACTAGCCGACGGAAAGAACACCCACAGCCTGTCCTCCAGGGTGCACACACACCATGCCCAGTGGGACTCTGGCGCAGACTGGAGTCCACAAACATCCATGCATGCCAGCTTACCTTGTTACAAGCTTAGCTATAATTTCCAGGAAAGGGGGCTGTATTGTTTTTCTTTGGGAAAATGTTCCCAAGTGAGTCAGAAAAGGTATGCCTGCGTCCTCTGGTGGAGCCTGTTTGACTAGTTGGACCCTCTCAGTCATTAGTTCGCCAGAGGAGCTAAGGATACGCAGGTCAAGGGAGAAGGCTGGAGGTCTGGCTCCTACACAGAACCCCACACATCTGCAACAAGCTACTCCGACTTTAAGTAATGCTGGGAGTCAGTGAAGGGATATGGTTTAGCTCCAAATCCTACTGGATCAAAAAAGCTGGACCTTTGCTCTTTCACAGCCTGCGGGCAGGAGCTAGCATAGTGTTGGCAGGGTGGGATCTAACCAGAGGCAGGGGCTCGGGTAGCAAAGCTACAAACTTGATTTTATTTCATTCGCTCCATAGCTTACTTTGACCCAGGATCCACTCACCCCCAACCTCTGCATCTCAGTCTTAAGAGCAAAGCCCAAACTAGTTTCAGCCAGACATGCACCTACCCAGCCTCCGTTATCCTGGATCCAGTTGTGCAGATGCCGGTTCAGGTACTCAGTCATCCACAGGGCGATGTTGTCCACCAGGGGTGACATCTCCCTGTTGACGCTCTCCACACACATGACCCCACCGAACTCAAAGAAGGCCACAATCCTCCCCCAGTTCACCCCATCCCTGAAGAGTTCCTCCACCACCGTAGCAAAGCGTCCCCTCGCGGTGAAGGGCGTCAGGTGCAGCTGACTGGACATCTCCGCGAAGTCGCGACGGTAGCGACGGGAGAAGTCATCCCCAGCCCGGCGGAGGGTCAGGTGGACCACAGGTGGCACCGGGCTGAGCGCAGGCCCAGCGGTGGCGACTATGGGCCTTAGTGGCGACGTCCTGGCAGCCATGTCCCAGTGCACAGCGGGCGTGGGGTTGCTTTCAGGCTGAAAGGAGAAGATGCCAGCGGTGGGGGCGGCTCCCGGGGGCACGGCGTCCACATCTCCCGCATCCCACTCGTAGCCCCTCTGTGACAGTTTATAATGGATATACTTCATCACGATCTCCCGGTTATCATACCCTGTTCTCCCGGCTTGCGCCATCCTTCCCCCAAAAAAGCTGCAGGTACCAACAGCACGTCTCGTCCCGACTCCCGCCCCACGGCCCCAAAAGAAAAAAAGAAAAAAAGGATAGTTATAATCCAGTTCTTTTATTGGATGTGCTTTTGCATTCCTGGATGAGGGGGTGCCTTCAGTCACGCGGAACACTTGATTCTGGTGTTTCCCCCTTGGCATGAGATGCAGGAAATTTTTATTCAAATTCCTTTTGGCTCTTTATTTCATGAGGCACATTATTTATTAAGCTGCGTTAATATCCTTCTACTTCCTCCGCAATGCTGAAAGGTGAGGGGCGGGACGACCTAGCAAGTTAAAATCAGGTGTGTTCTCCTTTATATTCTCAGGGGAGGAAGGGCATATCCGCTACAAGTTACACGCTAAAGAGAACGAATTAAACTGTCTGGAAACTGAATTTGTTCGAATGCATTTAAAGTAAAAAAAAGAAAAAGAAAGAAAAGAAAAATTGAAATGCGTCCGTTGAAAGTTACATTAAACCAAATTCCTGTGCAAAAAACTTACTGTATTTTTTAAGGACGGCATGATCTTCTGTCAAGTTTCTTTTTTTTTTTTTTGGTCAAACCCAAACAAATACATAAGGCAACGACACCACTGATCTTCAAAAGTCTCCTTGTATAAGCTTCTTTGAAACTTGCAATGAATCAGTAGTTGGAGGTGGGGGGCTAGGTGGAGTAAAAATCAAGAGGGTTTCCAGATTGCATCCCCACACTTAGGCTTCACTGAAAATGTTAACCCGTAGGAATTCCAACCGGAGATTTCAAGAGCACGACAGCGTTGCCAAAAAAGCAGCAGCGGCAGCAGATGAATTACAAATTTCAGTCCAGCATTTGCAGAAGTCCTGTGATTTCCCCCTCTCCTCGGCAATTTACACTCGCACACACACGCTCGAGCGCAGGCATGGATCGGTAGCCACCGGATTGCTTCAGCCCTCCACGACAGAGACACGCGAGGGGGACGATGGAAGAGCGGGGGAAACGGGGACGAGAATCCTCTTCTGATTAAACTCCGAAAGGCCAATACGTTTTCCGAAAAATGGGGTGGGGGGTGGGAGCAGCTTGATAAATACAAGCAGAGACGCGCCGGGGCCGCCGTTGCCGAGTGAGCAGCCCGCGCGCTGTGTGTGGTGCGCTGCGGGAGAAGAAGGTGGTGGGGGAGGGTTTGCCCCCCCTCTTTTTCCTAAAAAGGATGACTGCTACGAAGTCCCCCCCCCGGCCCCCTCTTCCGCTGCACCCCACCGGCGCACCCCGCCTCCGGGTTGCGCACCCTTTCTCCTCCTCTGCTCCGTGAGGCGCTGGCGGTTGCGTCCTCGCGCTCACTCGGCGAACCCGGCTCGGCGGTGACTGCTGCGGCCGGGGAGGGCCCGGGCACCTCGGTGGCGGCCGCGGCGGCTCGGCGGGGACTCGGACGCAGGGCGGGAGGGCGGTCCGGGGAGGAAGGGGGCGGGCGCGGGGCTGGGGGCCCGGCCTCTTACTTCATTCTCCGCTGGAGCGCCTGGTTTCCTGTAGTACGTCATGTTCATTCAAAAAAAGAAGAAAGAAAGAGCCCTCCTCTGAGCGCCCGCCCGCCGCCTCCGCCCGCCTCCCGGGTTAAAGGCGCCGCGGCCGCCCCGGGGAGCGCGCGCCTGGGCGCGGACACTGGCCTGGGTGGCGGCCACCCGCGGGCTACGCTGGGCTCGGGACAGTGGGTGGCGCGGGCCTCCCGTGCTGCCGGCTTGGTGGGTGTGCGAGGGGCCTCTTCGGGTCTGTGGGACTGGCTGCTGGGTGGGCGCGCCCATAGCAAGGGCCGGGCAAGTGGCAACTCGCGTGGACCCTTTCTAACCCTATGCATAACACAATTGCATGAATCTTTTCTAATGTGGACTGTGTGCACAATTGCTTGGACCTTTTATGAATGCATGTGTAATGCAAGTCACATGTCCCCCTTTCTGTGGTGTGGTGAGTGTACAGTCCCACGGACCTTTTCTGTGTGCAGTCCCAGGAACCCTTTCTAATCATCTGTGTACATGTGCACAATCAAATAGACCTTTTCTAACTGCCTTGTAATATGTGCACAGTCACATGGCCCTTTTCTGTGTGCAGCATGTGCATGGTCACATGGCCCTTTTCTGTGTGTGATGTGTAGGCAGTCCCATGGACTTTTTTGTGTATAGTGTGCACACACTATACTGGACCCTTTCTAACTGCATAAGCACTATGGGCACAAATGCATGGACCCTTGTGTGTGCACAGGTGCCAACTCTAAGCGTGTGTGTAGTGTATTTACAATTAGACTATTTATAGTGTACACAACTACATGTAGTATGTGTATAAAATCATACAGACCCTCAGCTAACCATGGGTGTAGTGTACACAAACAAAAACATCAGGTTACCAGCTCTCAATGGTCAGAGATTACTGGTCCCAGAACAGTGGTACCTACCAGTGTGCTGCCCTTGGGTGAAGAGAGGTGATCCCTAGTACAATCTCCCATATATTAATTGCAAACGAAATAATCAGAATAATCAAAGTTAGATTGTTTGTTTCCTAGAGTTTCTGTGTCCAGGTACCAAAAGCAGTGTAATTTCTGCCTGAGTACCTCAGACCCGTTGGAGGGCAGAAGTCCAGAACCAGCAGGGCATGCTTCTCAAAGGCTGAAGTCTGCCGGTAGCGGATGGTCACTGGTGCTTCTTGGCTTGTTAAAGAACAGCCAAGGTAAATCCCAAGTGGTAGGCTGAGCGCCCTGGAGGTATCCAAAGAGAACACCTCATGAGCACACAGGTCCTTTTAACTTGCATCTCTGTAAACCTATCTTGGTGGCCAAGGGCAGACCTGACTCTCTGGACCAGAGAAGAGAGGAGAGCAGCATGTACTGAGAGAGTGCTTTAGAATAATCCAGTAACTGTTCTTCCTCTGGCCAACAGTCCTAGTGCTGGGTGGAGGCTGGATCCCCACCCCCTGAAAACCTATAATCCTAACATGGCTCAGGTAAGGTTTCGAAAGTCCTCAGCTCTGACTAGCAGCCAGCCTGAGATGGCCTCACCCCAGAAGATACCTTCACCGGTATCAACAGTTAAGAGGGGCGATCAAGGGGACAAATAAATACAGTGCCAAGAAAAGCTGTTCTCTCCCAGCACAGATGACTGCTGCATAGGAGTCAAGGACAGACGACATGTGTGGGGTGGACAGGTGTGGTGGATTAGTATAGTCATGGAAATAAGACACATTCAGACATCACCTTTTCCTCATTCTAAGTCTGTGTGTACACGGTATGAGGTGGTGGGGAGCATGTGCCCTGGCACACATGTAAAGTCAGAGGACATGTAAAGTCTTCTCTCCCCCTTCCACCTTATTGACTTGTGCTTGAGGCCAGGCTCAGGTAGCCCAGGTGGGCCTTGCCTTTGCTATGTCACAAAGGATAAACCTGAACTTAATAATTTCCCTGCCTCCACCTACAGGTGTTAAGATTACAGGTATGCACAATGACCCATTTGTGTGATGTTGGGGTTAAAATTTGGACTTCATGTTCTTTAGGCAAGCACTGTACCAAGGGAGCTACATTCTTAGCCCCCAAAGCGTGTGTGCATTTTATATATAGTCCATCACATTTGGGGGGGGTCACTTGTCTCACCCTGTTAGCCACCAGACACCCTCTGTCCTGTGAGAACAGGTGCCCTCACGTGTCTGCTCCTCAGGGATGAAGGGACCTGCTTCTTCACAGATTTGGGGCAGCACAGCGGAAAATGAGGTGTGTGCTGGAGTGAGGCACTGAGGTATGTTTTCTCACGGAAACAGGAGAAATGGTGCTATTCTATGAAAACAGTTCAGGGGGCCTCACGCCTTAACCCCCCAAATTACTTAACAGGAATCGAAAGAGTTTGCACTCTTCATACCTCGAGCTGTAGTGAGGAATCGAGAGGACATGGCTCAGGGCGTGGTGGCTGTACTTCTGCAGAGGGGACAGCCAGGACAAAGGGATCTCTATTCCCAGAGAAAGAAACTTTCACCTAAGGGTTTCCCCAAACTGGGTCCTTCTATGGCATCTTGGCCTTGATCAACAGCCTGGGGACAAGTGACTGAGACCTTCTAGACGAATGTACCATAACCTTTTTACTTCTCAAGGTGGATTCTACCTCTCAGGAGTTCAGGGACCAACCTTTACCATGTCTGCCTGGTTGCATCTTACCAGAAGGAAAAGGGGCCAAGACAGAGAATGGAGCTGTAGCAAGCATCTAATTTCCCTTCGTCATTCTCTGCACTGCCAGGCTCACCACCTGCTGCTTGGCGCTTCACAGCATTGCCCAGGAAGGTCTCTTGAGGATCAACGTGAAAGTTCCCCAAGTGTATGAAACTGAAAAAGAACATTCTAGAATGGATATAACACTGATTAATGTAAGTCTATATCAAATCTTTCCAGCTATGCAACCTTTAATTGACAGTGAGGGGAGAGACCCTTCATTGAGAGAAATAATTAAAAATAGAAAGATGAATTTTTAAAAGTAATCATTTGGGTTATTTCAGGTTAAAAACTATAACCACAAGTGGAGTAGAAATAAATCTGTAAACAAAATGAATGAATGAGGAAGATAGAGACAGAGAGAGGCGGGGACCGGTTGGTAAAATGATCTACTTAAAAAACTACCATTTCTCAGGCCTGGAATGAAGGTTGAAGTGCAGCTTTTAATTTCACAGGCATCACAGACTCTTGTGCAGAGCAGTGCAATGGCATGGGTGTGCAAGCATTGCACGCTCCAGTGGTGGTGTTTCCAGTCCATTCAGGCTCAGACCTTTCTTCCCATAGCCATGTATTTGTGTGTTCTCTGCTGGCCAGTCATTCTTGTCACTTTTGAGATCTAAACAAATTAGACTTAACCAAGAAACTCACCTCTCTAGCCATGGTGGCCCCCAAGCCTCAAAAACACATTACAATATGAAGCCACAACCTCCACAACTAGGCACAAACTAGAATTAGTCACAGTGGAGTGCAAATTTAACAGTGAGCAAAGGCCTGAGGTGAGAGGGCCTTGACTTGGTGAGGCTCTGGGTTCAGTGCCCAGCTCCAGAGCAGCAATGCAGAAACAGGGGCCAAAGGGTCTCACTTTTGGTTTACAGAAGAAAGAAAAGAGAACTGCCTTTTCCTTGGCTTCCGAATGGAGGCAGGCCGAGGAGAGGAGCTCGTCTTGACACTTTCAAAGCCTGCTTATTTTTGGATAGAAACTGCCGCAGTTGAACAAACAAGTGGGAACTCACCATCCATACCGAGGGGTGAGAAGAATTTATATTCCTGCATGCAATTACTAACTACACTGCTTAGCAGAGCTCATAGTGTCTCCAGGATATTAACTGCAAATGAAAGTAATCAGACTATCCAGAGTTAGAATGCTTGTGTCCCAGGGCTTCTGTGTCCGGACACCGCAAGCGGTGTGACTCAGCTCTGAGTATTCCTGTGCTCTGGAGGGCAGAAGTCCAGAGCAGCAAGGCCTGCCCTCAGTCTGCCGTGGCCGACAGTCCCTGACGCTCCTGGACTTGAGCTGCTGCTCCTCCATCTCTGCCATCTGTGCGGCACCCTTCCCTCCTATTCAGACGTCATGGGTCATCCTGGTAGCCATGTCTTACCTTCACGACACCAATACAACCCTATTTCCCAAAGCCAAGCACTTCAAAATCCTATGAAGTGACATTTCTGCCAGTATGTCTAACCCGGTACCTGACGTGCTAACCGGGTACCTGATGTGCTAACGGGGTACCTGATTCGCTAACCAGGTACCCGATGTGCTAACCGGGTACCCGATTCGCTAACCGGGTACCCGACTCGCTAACCGGGTACCTGATTCGCTAACCGGGTACCCGATTCGCTAACGGGGTGCCTGATTCGCTAACGGGGTACCTGATGTGCTAACCGGGTACCTGATGTGCTAACCGGGTACCTGATTCGCTAACGGGGTACCTGATTCGCTAACCGGGTACCTGATGTGCTAACCGGGTACCTGATTTGCTAATTTGGGGAGATTATTTGCTGCAATCTCCAAGGTCTGGGGCAACATTAAAACTGAATTCCAAGAGATACCACACCTTTCTTAAATCTTACTATTTCGTGGGAATCCAAAGGCCAGACACTCATTCCTGACACAATCTGGCCAAGCCCTGCCCAGCCCTTCCACTTGCTCTTATCACAGCCGCATTAACTTCTGGTGCCTCCCTTGGTCTCTTTGCTCCTCTCACAAGCCAGCAAGAGCTCTCCCACTACGCTGTGTCTGAACCGGGTTTCTTAACATCTTTTGCCCTCACATTCTGTTCCTTTCTCTAAAACATAACCACCTTTCTATCCAGGCAATTCCTAGTCATTCCTTCTGTAAGACCTGCTTCTCCAGGAAGCCTTCAGATTCCATTGTACTCCTTAGACTTGGCTTGTTTTGAAGGCTAAGAGATGAAAAACCAGAAGCCTGAGTAGAATCCTGACTCCATTAATTCGACAGCTGTGTGACCTTGAGCTGGTTAATAACCTCTCTGTGCCTGTTCCCTTATCCGTCAGGTATAAAGACTGATGTTCACAGTATGCATGTTTGGTTTCATTGAGTTAAAACATGTGAAGTGCCCAGCGGTGCCTTGAACCTATCAGCCCTGTATTCGTCAACATGGCTCATTCACACCTCTTGTCAATCCCAGCACACTTACACTTTCTGGCTATTTCCCACCAGATTAAAAACCATGTGAGCAACGAGACTGCATTTGTCTTGGGTCCTTGCCTACAAAGGCACTTGGCATTCAGATCTTTGTGTCTGGGGATAGGAGTGGTGGCGACTTCTCTTTCTCCAGGAAGATGTGTAGGATGTATAGCAAAGATAGCAGAGGGGTGGAGGGGTGAGGGCTGGGAAGGAAGAAGACAGGGCTGAAGTCACAGGAGGAAGAGGACACGTACACAAGTCTTTATCTCTGGAGCTAGAAGACTCATCATTGCAAGTCAACCGTTCTATGCAAAAAGAGGGAAAAATGGGGGTTTACATAAAATCATTAGTAAAATAGAAATCAAGTAATCCAAAATACAAATTATAGAATATATGCTATTTGAATATGAATTTTTCAAATATAAAGAAAAGTTCAGCTTGCAATTCAATATGTCCCCAAAATATTATACTTAGTGAAATGTATTTATAAAACCCATCATTATCATGAAGAGATGTTGTATTTTGTTGAAGGCTTTTTCAGCATCTAATGAGATGACCATGTAGTTTTTATTTTTCAGTTTGTTTATAGATATCAAGATGTAGAAGAATGAAAATAGATCCATATCTATCCACATGCACAAAACTCAAGTCCAAATGGATCAAACATAAAACCAACCACACTGAACCTCACAGAAGAGAAAGTGGGAAGTACATTTGAACGCACTGGCACAGGAGACCACTTCCTAAATATAGCCGCAGCAAAGGACACAGTCAACAAGACAAAACGACAGCCTACAGAATGGGAAAAGATCTTCACTAACCCCACATCAGAAAGAGGTCTGATCTTCAAAATATACAAAGAACTCAAGAAACTGGGTCATCAGAAGAACAAATAATCCAATAAAAAAAAGTGGGGTACAAACCTAAACAGAGGAATCTAAAAGGGCTGAAAGACACTTAAGGAAATGCTCAACATTCCTAACCATCAAAGAAATGCAAATCAAAACAACTCTGAGATTGCATCTTACACCTGTAAGAATGGCCAAGATCAAAATCACCGATGATAACTCATGCTGGAGAGGTTGTGGGTTAAAGGGAACACTCCTGCACTGCTGGTGGGATTGCAAGTTGGTACAGCCCCTTTGGATGTCAGTGTGGCGAATTCTCAGAAAATTAAGAAACAACCTACCTCAAGACCCAGCAATACCACTTTTGGGTATATATCCAAAGGATGCTCAATCATGCCATAAGGACATGTTCTCAACTATGTTCATAGCAGCGTTGTTTGTCATAGTCAGAGCCTGAAAACAACCTAAATGCCCCTGGACCAAAGAATGGATAAGGAAAATGTGGTACATTTACACAATGTAGTACTACACAGCAGAAAAAAAAAAGACATCTTGAAATTTGCAGGCAAATGGATGGATATAGAAAACATCATACTGAGTGAGGTAACCCAGACCCAGAAAGACAAATATCATATATACTCACTCATAAGAGGCTTTTAGACATAAAGCAAACAAAAACCAGCCTACAATTCACAATCTCAGAAAACCTAGACAACAACGAGGACCCTAAGAGAGACATACATGGATCTAATCTACATAAGAAGTAGAGAAAGACAAGATTTCCTGAGTAAACTGGAAGCCTGGGGACCATGGAAGAGGGTAGAAGGGAAGGGAAGAGGAAGTGGGGAGCAGTGAAAAATATATAGCTCAATAAACACAATTTTTAAAAAAGAAATAAAAAGAAGAAAATACCAGGACACAACACATAAAAAATATAAATATGTAAGTATTAAATGTAGATAAATAAATGTAAATATACTGTATGAGTTCAAAAAATAAAATAAAACCCATCATTGTGTACAGCAAATAAAAGTATAAACAAGATAATCATATAATCAACATATAGATGCAGAAAGTGTATATAATAAAATTTAACAGAGAATGATTAATAAAATGAAAGAACCCTCAGCAAACAGGAAATGATATTGTCAACATAAGAAATGTTATCTGATAGTCTTACAAGAAACATTATATATATGTATGTGTATATATATACACACATATGTATATATACACACACACACATATATATGTGTGTATATATATATGCGACTATTGCACTTTTTTCCCTCCAAGAGTGAGAAAAAGAAGCAAAGGGTAACATACAATTCCAAAGGTGTCCAAAGATGTCCACTCAGTGTGGGTAAATGTTTCTACCTATATCTGCGAGTTACAGCTTGCTAACCGCCAAGCCCAGACAGGTCACAGAATATGCAGGCACAATGGCCAGGAACTCTATTTGCATATGAAATGTAAATGCTCAAAAAGTTTTAAATTCTTTGTTTCTTAAGATTTTACTCCCATAGACTGAGCATAATTGAAACAAATGTCCGGACTCAGAGTGTATATTGTTACAGTATTTCCTAAAAGTAGTAAAAATCAGGCCTTATGAAAAGCTTAGGAAGCCGAGGAGAAACATCACTATAAAAGTAGCAGTAGTATCTTGAACAAGACAAATTTCTAGAAAAATAAATTCTCAGAGCAGTAAAGCTTGTTCCCATTTATTTTGTGTGTAGTTCAGAAATACAAGGTATGAAAACTGTTACAATAATGCCACAAAAGCTCCTAAATACAGCCCTTTCTAAATATCAAAACAGCCATGTGTTCTTTGTCAGTGT